TATTGTGAATAATTCTGCAGTGAACATGGTCTATAAGTATCTATTTGAGGCACTGTTCTCTTTTCTTTATAAATAATTTTCTTATTTATTAGAAAGCACGTGACCATGTGCCAAACATATATCCCACCTGCTAGTTCACTGTCCAAATGCCTACAACAACCAAAGCTGCACCCAGCAAAAGGCAGGGCCCAGGCACTGAATCCGGGTCTCCTGCATGGGTGGCAGGGAGCCAACTTCCTGGGCCATCAGCTGCTGCTTCCCAGGGAGCACAAGAGCAGGAAGCTGGATGGAGAGCAGAGCCAGGCCTCCGGCCCAGGCGCTCTGAAATGGGATGTGGACATCTCACACAACGGCTGAGCCGCTGTGCGAGTGCCCTCCCCTGGGACCACTCTGGTTCTGGTTCTGTGGAGCATGCACCTAGGAGTGAGAGGGCTGGATCACATGGCAACTCCGTGTTAACTTTCTGAGGGGCTGCCCACCTGACATTGCCAGGAGCAGCGTGGGAGGGTACCCGAGTCTTGGCGTCCTAGGCAACCTTGTTCCTTTCCATTCGTTCATTGTTACTTTCTGCTTTAGTGCTCAGGGTGAAGGCAACCTTGTTCCTTTCCATTCGTTCATTGTTACTTTCTGCTTTAGTGCTCAGGGTGAAGTGCTGTCTCATTGCGATGCTTAGTGACTGAGCACCCTTTTCAGTGCTCCTGAGGCCATCTGATGCTTCCTTGGCAGACTCTGCGAGTCCTTTGCCAATTTTGGTGAGATCCAGTTTAACTATTATTTCCCTTTTGTTCCTCATGCTTTGATGTCACATAAGAATCTGTTGCGAAACCACAGTTTGTACCTGTTGTACCCTGAGAATTTCATGGTTTTAGCTCATTCTTAGGATATTGATCTGTAGTTCCTTAATTTTTGTATATGGAGTAGATCCAACTTCTGCTTGTTAGTGTGAACATTGAGTCGTCCCAGCACCATTTGTTGAAGAGGCTGTTTAGAGTCCAGTGGCCACATCCTGTGAGCTTATTTCTGGACTCAGTCCTTTTCCACTGGTCTTTATGTCTATGGGGGAGGGGGGAGGTGTGTTCTGAAAGGTCGTGGAAATGCATGTAACAGGAAAACTATGCATGGGTCTCAAAAATCACGTCAAAAGAAACTTTAGTTCCGTCTCCATGGACTTTTTGAGGTACCCTTGTCTCTGTGTGCCACGACCACACTGATTTGACCACCGGAGCTTTGTGAGGTTGGGATTGGGATATATGAATCTCTGACTTTGTTCTTGTTTTTCAAGATTGTTTCGGCTCCTTGCACGTTCATAGGAACTTGAGCACAGTCACCCGTGACCCCAGGATTGAGTTCTGTTAGTTGTATGTCCAGAGGAGGGACTGGGGGCCACAGGGAGCCACCTGCCCATCTTTAAGGCACACGTGGTTGAGCAGTTTACTCTTTGCCGGCAGTGGGTGGGAGTTCCAGCTGTGCCACCTTCTCATCAACATTTGCCAGGTCAATCCTTCTGCACAATTTTTTTTAATAAAAATATTTTAACGGGCAGAGCGACAGACAAGAGATCTCCCATTTCCTCCCCAAATGCCCAAAATAGCAAGGGCTGGGCCAGGCCAAAGCCAGGAGCCAGGAACTCAATCCAGGTCTGCCATACAGGTGGCAGGGACCCAAGCCATGGCCTGCTGCCTCTCGGGGTGTGTGCATCGGTGGGAAGCTGGCATCGGAAGTGGAGCCAGGACTTGAACCCAGGCGCTCTGGAGTGGGATGCTGGTGTCCCGAGTGGCAGCGTAGTTGCTGCGCCGAACGCCTGTCCCTTCTGTAGTTTCAGCCTCCAAGTTCAGCGTCAGCCTGCTCTCCCCTTCGAGGCGTCGCCTGCACACCTTGGCTCAGGTGGCCTTGCTTCTGGACACCAGACCTTGCAGGGTGCTCTTGCCCCCTCCCCTGAGGGGTGGCCAGGGTCTTGCTCCCTCCACAGGCTGCAGATCTGGGAAGGCAGAATCAGCCTGCCCGAGGGAGCCTGGGGACTGGGAGCCTGGGCAGAGCGGGGGCTCCGAGGATGAGCGGGGCTGCTGAGGAAAGTGGGTAACCGGACGCCGATGTGGCTGCAGGACTGGCTATGTGTGTGTGGATGGGGCTTTTGGAGCCAGGCCATGCCCTTGAGAGAGGTCGGTGCTTGGGCACCTGTGTTTCAGGGGAACCAAGAAGCCGGCAGAGCTGTCCTGGTGGATCTTGAAGGTGCTCCCTCGCCTCCAGACCCCTGGTCCAGAGAGGCCGGGAGGGCGTTCCCAGGCCCACTGCACACGGGAGCCAGAGACCCCCAGGCCTGCGTCTTGTCCCTGCCCTCTGCTCTAAGGGCCCCGAGGCAGCGAACCGCCTCTCCACTCCCAGCTTTCAGTGTCGGGAGCTCAAGCCGTGGGGCTCAGTAAAAGTTCCCATGGGCCCATGCGTGCAGACCCTTGCCTGGGCACCCTGGAGGCCTCAGAGGGCCAGAGGGCCTGGCCAACTTCTTGCATCGCCACAGGGAGAGCAGTGGATCTGTGCACAGTGAGGCTTGTCCATCACATGCTCCATCAGCCAGGGCACGAGAGGTCACACCCAGCCCAAGGAATGGCTGGCTTCCTGGCAGGGGTGGCCTGGGCCTGGGCCTAGCGGAGGAGCAGGACTTACTAGGTAACCATGTGGTGAGGAGTTCTAGGCAAAGAAAGCAGAAGAGCAGGGGTGTGGAGGTAGCTGCCCTGGCCGTGTGGGAACAGGCAAGTGCAGTCGGATTAGTAGACACTGACCGGGGAGGGGCCCTGGAAGTCGGCCCGGGGCAGACAGCGTGGGTCTGCATGTAGAGTTGCATCCAGGCTTGTCCTTGCCTGGGGAGCACTCCGGGGGCCACAAGGAGATTGGGGGGCTGCCCACCTCTCTGGCTTCTGCCTTCATGCACAATTCCACACACACAGGTCCAGAAACACAGATACAGAGCACATCCCAGGATGGACATAGAAACACTGAGACCAAGAGACCCACATATGAAAACACAGACCCAGACAGCTGTGCGCGCGCGCACACACACACACACACGCACGCACGAGAGAGAGACACTGATAGACACGCTCAGCCAGCCAGCCACGTAACCACAGAACAGAAAAGCACACACATGCAGTAAGGTGGGGACCTAGGAGCAGACGTCTGCGTGTGCCCACCAGCCAGGCAGGTGCACGTGCGTGCTGAGACGTGGACATGCACCCAGACACTACACACGCATGGTCAGAACGTGCTCATGCTCACAAGGGTGTGCACACACGGACTGAGACCCCTCCCCGACACACACATGTCAAGTCACGCTCCCACACAGGCACACCCTGAGACAGACCAGACCCGCGCAGACTCCCCCACCTCACACCCCTGTCCTGATCTCATCACAGGCTCCCTTTGCACTGACTGGTTTCTTGGTGGCTGCCCTGTGCCGTCCTGGGGGTCTGTCTCCAGGCTCTGGGGGGTGGTCGTAGCCCCCTCCCGCTCAGTGCTGGGATTCCTGCAGCTCCTGTGACGGGGCCTCCCAGCTTCCGACTTTAGGAGTGTGAGCTTCTGGTCGTGGTGGAATTCCTTTCTGGCTGGGTGGTGAGGGCTCTGGACCCTCAGCTGCGGTTGTGACGGGCAGCTAAGAGATGCGGGTAAGGGCCCCTGGCTTGCTCCGCCGTCCCACCCCCCACCCCGCCTATGGGCAGCCCTTGGCCACAAGGGTCACCAGTCTCCCAGCCGGCTATTGCTGGCCTGTGCTGGTGTGGGAGACAGGAGGGCTGGCCCTAGCAGAGGAGTGACCTGGGGTGTGGGGTGAGGCACCAGGATGGGAGGGAGTTCTCCCCCAGGCACACCAGCTGTTCCACAGCCACGGGCCTGGTGCCTGCTGCCCTCTGCGAATGTGACCCACATTCAGGCGGCCCCAGCAGCTGCCCCCCCCCCCGGCTGCCACTGCTGCTCCCCACGGGAGAGTCAGGCTCCCCAGCTACAGGTGGCTCTGAGAGATGGCCCTTGTGGCTGCCTCCATGTGAAGAAAAGCCGAGGGAATCGCAAGGAGACGGGCTCCAGCCCAGAGCTGAGCACAGAGCAGCCAGGGGCAGGAGGGGGAGCGGGGCGGGGGGAGCTGCCCTCGGGGTCTCCTGCATTCCCAGGCCACCAGTAGAGGGTCGTGGGGATGCTTGCCCAGTTTTCTCGGAATCCTACCTTCTTTTATTCCTCTTCTGTGCAGAATAAATCCAGGCTCCCCCTGGATGCCTTCCGACCCTGCTGACAGGAAGAGGGGCTGCCCACAGTGTCCATGCTGGATTTTGGGACCGGTCCTGCTGTGTTTGGGGGAGGGGAGAGCAATGGCCTAGCAGCCTACCCTGCCAGAGAGACTGGAGGGGACTCCCCCAGGCATCGTCAGCCTGGAGCTCAGCGGGAGCCAGCAGGTGGGAGTGAGGCTCAAGGGCCAGGAGAGACGGCTCTGCCGGAGGGGCGCCAGGGCTCCCCCCTGTGCCGGAGGGTGCTCCAGGGCTCCCCCCTGTGCTGGAGGAGGTGCCAGGGCTCCCCCTGTGCCGGAGGGGGCTCCAAGGGCTCCCCCCTGTGCCGGAGGGGGCTCCAAGGGCTCCCCCCTGTGCCGGAGGAGGTGCCAGGGCTCCCCCTGTGCCGGAGGGGGCGCCAGGGCTCCCCCTGTGCCGGAGGGGGCACCAGGGCTCCCCCTGTGCCGGAGGGTGCTCCAGGGTTCCCCCTGTGCCGGAGGGGGTGCCAGGACTTCCCCCTGTGCCGGAGGGGGCTCCAAGGGCTCCCCTCTGTGCCGGAGGGTGCTCCAGGGCTCCCCCTGTGCCGGAGGGGGCGCCAGGGCTCCCCCTGTGCCGGAGGGGGCGCCAGGGCTCCCCCTGTGCTGGAGGGTGCTCCAGGGCTCCCCCTGTGCCGGAGGGGGCACCAGGGCTCCCCATGTGCCGGAGGGTGCTCCAGGGCTCCCCCTGTGCCGGAGGGGGCACCAGGGCTCCCCATGTGCCGGAGGGTGCTCCAGGGCTCCCCCTGTGCCGGAGGGGGCGCCAGGGCTCCCGTGCTCCGTGTGGTGCTGGCCAGGGCGACTCTGCAAGGGATCCTTGCAGTTTAACGGAAGTGATTTATACTCTTGGTAGCCACCTTAGAAAATAGAACAAGCACAAAGGGAAAAAATGCGAATTATCCGTCTCCCCAGCCGGAGGCAGTTGTTCATATCCTACTTCGTGTGGTTTGTTGTTTCATCTCCCTTTTTACTAAAATGTTTCGTCGCTTTAGTAGCTGTACGGTATCTCATTGTTTATGACGTGGGAATAATATCTGTATTTTCTTAGCATTTACCGTACGCACTGGGCACTGTCATTTGTTGAATCCTTATGACTTGATGCTTGTGCTGTTAGTATCCCAGGGGCACAGATGAGAAGCTGCCCAGGGTAACCCAGCCGGTGAACGGTAGAACCAGATGTAGAGCCCAGGTCTCCTGGCTCCAGAGCTCTTAGGTTTCGCACACTCTTCTGCCTCTCGGGCCACACACCCCGCACCACGGGGTCTCTCGCTTCCTCTAGGGAGGCTCTGGAGCGGGTTTCTAAGCGTCTGTGTTTTATGATTATAAATGCTACCCTGATGAGCCTTTGTGTGACTTTGATATTCTGATAGTCCCTGGTTACTTATTTGAGATTCACCCCCCAAAATGGAAGTTAAGGCACAAAGGGCACAAAGAGGTAAGGCTCTCAGACGTTGTCCTAACCTTCCCCCCAGGAGGCTGCCCCCACCAGAGGGCGGGGCTGCTGGGTTTAGCGGCTGAGAAGCCGGCCACGGACGCCTGCTTGTGTGTGCCGGGGGCGCGTGGATGGTGTTTCACAAGGGCCAGTTGAGGGATTGGAGAGATGTAACCTCCAGAAGATTTGGATCGTGGGGTGGGGGCCTGGGGACATGCATGTGGCTGCTGCGTGGAAGAGCTCTGCCCCAGGCCTTACGCACAAGTGGCCCCGTGGGCTGCAGCTGCAGGCAGCACCCAGACGTGGAAAGCACGGGGTGGGAGTTGAGGACCTGGACTGTCTGCCGCCCTGTCTCTGGCTGGTGTGGACCGTGCACGGGGAGGGCCACACGCCGCACCCCTCACACACAGTCAACATTACGTCCGACTGCTCCCCGGCTCGGGGTGGGGGCGCGGTCTGTTCCCATCCCACCCCCACCTCGGGGAGCCTGGCCCGGCCTGGTACCTCTGTCCGTCTCACGGGGCACAGCCTGGCCTGTGTCATGGGCCACACAGCTCCTGCATTATGTATGAGGGGACCCAGCAGTGAGCGAGGGAGGGCCGGGCGGTGATTAATAAACAGGCGTATTGTGTGGCGCTCCATTCACGGCGCTCTCCGAGGACGTGGTGGGCTCGAGATAATAAAGCCCTGTGTATGCCACAGAGGCCTGGGAGGTGGCCAGGGCGGGCTGGCAGGGAGCTGGGGCGCCCGGAATGGCTCTGAGTCCATCCAGGGCCCGACTGCTGTGTTTGCTCTGAGGCTGACCCCCCGGCGGGGAAGGTCTAGCTGGACTTTTGCCCGCACCTAAGTCTGCCCCTGGCATGGGCCTTGCACACCTGTCCCTACAGGGGGAGCCTGAGAAGACAGCAGATGAACCTGGCCGGGACTCCCTCACGAGAGAGGTAGGATGGCGAGTTCGCCCTGCCTCTGTCCCCATCCCCGCCCCGTTCTGCCCTTGGACTGCAGTGGGGTGTGGTTGTGACAGCTTCCTGATGGTGCTGGTGTTGGTAGCGTACATCCTAGCCCGGGAAGTGGGCGCTGTCAGGGTGTGGAACGGAAAGCAGGCAGGCTGGGAGGGAGGGCGGCCAGGTGATCACCGTCTCCCGTCGTGAGAACGAGAGGCCAAGGGCAGGCTTCCAGAGCCTCGGCGTGGTTGGGCAGGGAGCTGTGGTCTGGCCCCACGGACGTCTGGGCAGGGAGAGCTCGGGGTCGTGTTCTCACCAAGCCTGCTCACGTTAGTGCTGGGATGGGCCCTCTCCGGCGCTGGCCCTCGATGCTCTCCTAGAGCACTTCGCTCTGGGCACCATCCCAGCCGGCCCTCTCCCCTCCAGCTCCGCTGGCCAGCCCGAGCTTCTTGTCTCTAGATGGCTGGGAGGAGGTGGGAGAGGCCCTTCGGCTCACGCTGGCTTCTCTGGGTGGACGGCAGGAGGTCGCTTGGGGGACCTTTGGCTTCTTGTCCCTTAGCGCTGAGACGGAGCAGGTGAAGCTGGAGCCGGGCTGGGTCACGTGGTCGTGTCCGGGCCTGAGGATCCTCGCTTGGACCCCGGGAGTGGCTCTGGCCCAGAATCCCCCTGAGCTGGAAACCCTTTCATCTCAAGACAGCTCTGAGGAACTGGGTGTAGGTGTGGGTGTGCGGCGGGGACGACAGCCTGTCCTGCCTTCCCTGTGCGTGCAGGCCTTCCCGAGGCAGAGCCTTGGGCCCAGTGACTTCAGGGTTTTGATTGGATTGAAGATTCAGTGATCCTATAAAACCTGGGGAGGTTTGAGGCTGCCTTAGGGCCCCAGGGGACTGGGCCTAGGTTGCTGGAGGAACATTGCATGCTTGGCTTCAATCAGAGGGGGAGAACCCCCGCCAAGGCAGGCCAGCCCAGCCCCTGCCCCCCAGGACAGAATGGCAGGGGCTGGGAGATGGCAGGTGCTGCCTGGCCCCCACGAGCAAAGCCAACCACACAGGTTTCTCTGAGCACAGCACACCCTGGCCGGGATGCAGCATGCTGATGGCAGGCGTGGGAGACGTGCAGCCCTCCTGGGCCCTGGGCTCCTGCACACACTGTGGGTGCTCCCTTCCCGTGCTCCTCCCACAGTGGAAGAAGCACCTGTGCTCCTGGGAGCGGGTGGCAGCGAGGCTGTGTGTGGTCGCTGCAGCTGCAGTCCCTGGCTCGGGCACCTGGCCTGGTGGAATGACCTGGCATCTCCATCCAGCTTCGGGGGGCACCTGTGGCTCTGTTGTCTGGTTGTTGGTGTCGGGCAGCTTCCTGGAAGGCCCAGGACAGAGCCGAAGCCTTCTTCTTGGAGGCGGACTCATCCTCAGGTGCCCCCCATCCCGAGGCTGCCCTGCCAGGAGCAGTGGGCGAGGTGGCCCCTGGTAATGGCAGCACCACCGACATCGGTAATGGTGAAGGTGAGTGCTCCCTGAGGGCTTATTCCGTGGGACCACTCTAGCCCTGGGCGTCTGTCCTCCGCTGGGAACCTCCCGACAGCCTGGACCGTCCTCACTCAGAACCTAGGAAACAGAGGCCCAGGCAGGTGCGCACGTTGCCCGGGGTTACCGTGTCAGTGGCTGGGCCGGGCGTCCACCCAGACCCAGCAGCCGGCCCTCTTGGAGCCCCTGAGTCACGCACGGTCCCTCCTAGAAGGTGACACCGGGAAGTGTGGTGGCCACATGCACTGAGGGCAGATGTGAGGCCACCCTCCCTGCCAGTGTGGGGAGTCTCAGGGAGGCACCTGCCCTATACCAGGGGCTGTCCCACAGGCTGGACCCAGGGCTGACCGGTCAGTCTGAGTTTTCTGAACCTGGGTCAGCAGCAATGTGCTAGTGAGAGACGCTGTTCCTCGCCTGAGCAAGCACGGGGTACCCCAGCTGGCAGCACCCCAACACACGTGCCCGCCTGGGGTTGGGATCCTGGTGAGAGGCTGGGGAGGCCTGGGAGGCCGGAGCATGCCGCAGAGAAGGGAGCACCCTGGGAGCGGGAGAGTAGCCTGTGGCTGGGTGGACCTTTTGTTTCCACCTTTGAGTCAGATGGCGCAAGGCCCTGGGACTCCCATCAGGACAGAGCCCGGGGCAGAGTGCTGGGGGTGGGGGCTGCTTCTCCGTTGGAGCTGCCTTGAGGGGCAGGGGCAGCCAGCACCCAGGAAGCAGTGGGGCCACGTGCTCAGACAGTGGGAGGTGGAGCCAGACGGCCTGGGTTCCGGGCCCCTTTCCACACCTGGGCGACCTCCGGTTTGTTATGTTAATAGCACCGGCCCCTGGGTTTGCGGCTGACCTGTGAGGTCCTTGGCACAGGAGGAAGAGGGATGCTAACGCGTGGCTGCTGTGGTTCCTCTGGCCTTCTCCTGCTTCCTTCTGCCACCGCTTAAGGGCAGGAGCCGGGGATGGGCCTCCTGCGTGAGCGGCCGTTCCTCTGCCGCCTTCGCAGGTTTCTGACTCCCTGCACCTTCCTCCCGCCTCAGCACTGTCCCCCTGCTGGGGCTCTGGGAGTGGCCGCGTGGCTTTATTCCACCCCTCTCTGCTCCGGTACAGGCTCTCTGAGGACCTGCCCCCCCCCCCCCCACTGTTTGCCCCCTCGGGGCTCCGGGTCCTAACTGCATCTTTCCCGGCTCCTTCGTTTCTCTGCCTGTGCTTGGTCTGGGGCATCCCTGGTTATGCTTCTCGTACACTTCATGTGCCCAGAGTGCACTCCTCTTTTTTTTTTTTCCCTAAGATTTATTTATTTATGTGAAAGGCAGAGTTACAGAGGGAGAGGGAGGGAAGGAGAGACAGTGAGAGAGACGTTCTCCATCCGCTGGTTCACTCCCCAAATGGCTGCAGTGGCCAGGGCTGGGCCAGGCTGAAGGCAGGTCTCCCATATGGGTGCAGGGGCCCAAGGACTTGGGCCATCTTCAAGTGCTGCTTTCCCAGGCACATTAGCAGGGAGCTGGATTGGAAGCGGAGCAGCCGGGACTCGAACTGGATGCTGGTGCTGCAGATGTCAGCTTCACCCGCTACACCCCAGCACCGGCCCCAGTGGGCTCTTCTTCTTTTTTTTTTTTTTTTTTTTTTTTTTTTTTGACAGGAAGTGGACAGAGAGAGAGACAGAGAGAAAGGTCTTCCTTTACTGTTGGTTCACCCTCCAATGGCCGCCACCGCCGGCGCACTGCACTGATCCGATGGCAGGAGCCAGGTACTTCTCCTGGTCTCCCATGGGGTGCAGGGCCCAAGCACTTGGGCCATCCTCCACTGCACTCCCTGGCCACAGCAGAGAGCTGGCCTGGAAGAGGGGCAACCGGGACAGAATCTGGCGCCCCGACCGGGACTAGAACCCGAAGTGCCGGCGCCACAAGGTGGAGGATTAGCCTAGTGAGCCGCAGCGCTGGCCAGTGTGCTCTTCTTGACCTTTGGAAATACTTAGGGCCCTGTTTGCATCCAGGTGTGAGCCCAGCACCGGGTCTGGGCGATTTTCGCTGTCGACACAGCGTACTCTCCGGTGGAGGAGACTGAGATGAGGGCCCCAAGCTAGGGTCAGCCCCACCTGTATAAACGCGTTTGAAAAGGAAAAGTAAGTCCCCCCCCAAGCAGAGCGGGCTCTGAGTGAGAAGGGCTTTCTGACCACCCCATCACTGCCCCACTGTCCTCATTCTGTCCCTGCAGTAACCCCAGAAGGCAGCTACCACGACCCCCACTTCGTAACTGGGGAAGCAGAGAGGTGCCCCAGCCACGTGGTGGGAGAGGAGGCAGGATTCCAGTGTGGGGCTGGCTCGAGTCTCTAGAAGGTGCTGGACAGAGTGGCTGTGGACACATCTGCATTCCGTGACCCTGGACCTAGGAGCAGATCCAGGGCTCCTGTCTTCCCAGCTCCCCATCCCTTGGCCGTGTGTTCTCTCTCTCCCGCTCTCCCAGTGTAGGGAAGGTGCTGAAGCTGTCATTCTCCCTGAGAGGAGGGAGGGGAGGGACAGACAGGCGGAGTGGGGATGTGGCGGTGTCTGAGCACAGCGTCGGAAAGGTCGAGGGCTGTGTCCCTGAACCCGGACCGCAGGCAGCACCCTGCAGAGCGGTAATCCAACAGCAGAGGGCTGGAGCCCTGCCTGCCCCACGGCAGCGGCTGCTCAGTGTCCAGCCTGGGCTCCCCTCGGAGCGCTCCTCTTCCCCACACCCCCTCCCCTGCTGTGGGCTCACTGTAGGGAAGATGTCAGATGTGACATGGTAGTGGCCAGAGCAGTACCAGGTACCAGCCACCTGCCCCCTCCCCACAAATCCCCGACCCAGCCAGGATGCTATGAGCCAGCTTTTGAGGGGAGGGTGCTGGTGAGGTCTTTGTTTACCTGCCTCTGAAAGTCCGGACGGACAGGGAAGGTGGGTGGAGGAGGGGCCTGCAGCCCCTCCAGACTAAGCATGGAGGTGCCTGGTGAGTGAATGACAGTCACTTGGGATGCAGTCTTCCTCCTGCGCTAAGATCTGCCTCCTGAATTCCACAAAGCTAGATTGAGGGAGGCAGCTGGCAAGCTGGCTAGGTAGGGGCTGACTCCTGCTGCAGCACAGACCGCGACATGAGAGGTACACCTGTGGCACAGTCCCCTCTTAGTTAGGGTGGCCGTTGCCATGTGCTTACAAGGGAGCAGTGGGCAGGACAGCCAGAGGCTGTCCGTTGTACGAGGGACTACAATCCAAGAAGAATACTTGTAACTGCAGTATTTCCTCAGTTAGAGTGAGTTTCCTGTGGTCCAACAGGTTTTCCCAGGTAGGTGGTTTGCATCTCTGGGTGGGGCTGGGAGCCTTTACCCCTGTAGTTCAGGGACTCTGCCAAATTCCCTGGGGGCTCCCTCCACACCCATCATCTCATTTGCAGCTTCCCCCACCCGTAATGATTGACAGATTTCCATGACTGTAAATTGGCTTTCTGTGCAAATGGAGCCATATAGTATATGG